TATAGTTTGACAGGCATTTATGGCAATTTAGGTATTTCACTGGTAGATCTTCAAACATTACTGTCAACGTGGGTCCCATATGTCAGTGGGTAACGATCAGATAATTGTTCAAAATCAACAAAAAAAGAGACAGCCTCATAGAACTATAATGAAATATACGATCATGCAACATTTATCGAATTTGAAAAAGAGTTAGTACGATCCTCAAAAAAGATGACATGCGAAATATGACAATATTGTTGTCAATGGCAGTAGAGTTCTTAAGATTACCTAGTGTGACATATTGCTTTAATATGTTATGATCAATGATTCAATTGATTATCTAATTTAATCTAGGAGAAAAATCTTTGTCCAAATATTATAGATTGAGTATTGGGACATTTGTTGAACACTGAATTTGCGAACGACACATTACTTAATACCTGAAAAACGTAAAGGGGACACAATGGTAGGATATATAGTATCTATATTCAAAACCCACCAATATATTACAGACAATGCGGTTGTTTCACAGAAATCCTCCTCACATCTTGTGTATTTAAAGATCAATAATTGAATCTGAAAATTGTGACTTTAAATAAGGCTGGAAAGAAGCGTAGACTTTGAATTACTGACGATTTTCTAATTGGTAAACATTTTGCACCTCGTATGTGACCAGCTAAAATTAGATTGGCACAAATTGTGACACATAATGGTAAGTCTAGACACACACATCAAAGACATAATATCATTAGATACTTGCTTTCTGGTAGAATCGTCTCCATTGATGGCATTTTATCTCCATAATACTCCATCGCATGCCTACTTGTCTTGGGACGAAAATGCGTGCCTCAGTCACGAAGATTATATAGAAGTTTTCTCTCTTGTGGTTAAGTTTAAAGCCATAAGAGAAACTTTGTCGATTGCTGCTAATTCAAACAAAGAACTAGAACGACTGAATGTAAAAACAATCTTTAAGAGACCATATATATGGAACAGCCCCAAGGTTTTAAAACCAAGTAAGCGGGAGACTTGGTTTGCTTGCTTAAGAAATTTCTTTATTTCTTTAAGCCGTCTCCTAGGCAGTGGCACAAGAAGTTAGAAATCTATGTGATCAAAATAGATTCATGAGAAACAAGTTGGATAATTTCTTGTGCTACTGCATTTAGCAACTGACTTTGTTAACTATCTCTCATTATATGTTGATGACATGTTTCATAAGAGCGAACAAGATGGCAAGTAGGATCAAACAGCTGCTCATGAAAGAATTTGACATGAAACAGCTAGGAGAAGCCTGTAGTATCGTAGGATTGGTTATTAAAAGGGATAGGCCTAACTCTTGTCTGAGCATTAATTAAACCAGTTACTTTCACTAAACTAGTAAGTTTGGGATGAAAGGGTTCAAGCGGGTTGGTGTTCCATAGGGTCTCATATTGTTTTATCTTCTAGTCGATGCCTTGTAATCGAGGTTTAGAGAAATGAAATGAGATGCTAAGGAATCAAATCCTAGAATCCCGTCTATTTTCTAGATTTTGAAAAAGTGTAGATTTTAAAGAACGGGAATATATTTATCTTAATTCCTGAAAGTTAGATCCCCATGCAAGCGTCGCCCGACGAAGGGGGGATGGGGAAAGCTACAAGCTAAAAAGCTTCAACCCTTCTTTTGAGGCACGTCACCTTGTCATTTCGACTATGTGATGTACTCAATGATTACCATTAGACAAGACTTTTCTTATTCTATAAGTTTCGTAAATATATCTTATCCTAATAAAGATCATTGTTTCTACTTTAATAATGGCTTTTGAGGTATGTAATGCGTGGTTCAGGAAAAGGCTCAAGCTTGGGATGTTTGTGTGAATAAGTATGCTTAATAAGCTTAAATTACAGTCCAGGCACGCTATAAACGGAACGTGAAATAATTTGTGGAAGAATCTAGGACAACAGAGCACGGCAGCCTGCATTATGAGGCCACTGAACTTTTACCATATTAGCAATACCAACTTTACAACAAAGCAATGGTAGTGCCAGCCTAATTTCTGCTTTTGCCTCGAAAAGAATCTATACCATTAAACTAGTAAAAATTTTGAGAAAACAACCATTTGGCTTTAAAAATAAAACTGTGTTAGACAAATCTAAAGTTGGAAGTATCCGCAATTTTTTTTAACAATCATAAACAATTGTTCTGCTGATTGAACATGATAAAGTGCAGCATAGATAAAGCAAACCATTCTTCTGGTTTAAGCATTATGATAGAAACGAGCAATTGTGATCAAAACGACTCGATCAGCATGCATAGGGGTGAGGAGCGTTCCGAATAAAAGCAACATCACGTCAAAATCACAGGATAAAATTCACACAATGTTCCATAAAACTTGGATATGTAACAACTCTAAAGAGTAATTTGATCCACCCCCATATCTGTGATATGCAAACACACTCAAACTTAACCATGAAATTTTGTCTACTACCCTCTAAATAAAATGCACATGCCTGATGCCTCTTGACAACAACACTACGAATTTACAAGCTTATTAAACCAACACTTCAAGCTGTAAAATATACTTTTTACAACCATAATAGCATCAGATTTCGGCAGCACATAGTGCTCAAGTGAGACGCACTTCTCCACTTGCATGCACGGCCTTCACTTGCTTATCATACTCGTCTTCCTCTTCCTCTTCCTCCTCTTCTAGTTCTTCCTCCTCCTCTTCGCCTCCCCAACCAAAGCCTCCAACTGAACGGGAGGTTGGAGCAGGAGTCTTGGCCTCGCCCACAATTTTCATGATCTCCTCCACACCTTGAAGGGAATAGGTAGGGTTTCCTTTCCGGTAGTATGCTGCTTGAGCTAAATCAGTTAATTCCCTCGGCAAATTCTTCAGAAACCATGGGTGTGTCTTAATATCTTTGATTGAGATCCTCTGCACCAAGAAAATCATAATGTAATCTGAAACCCAATTACAAAATCTTAAACGGAACATTACCAAGCCCACTTGTGATGTTGACAATCAATATTTAAATTAAGTGTGGCTCAGCTTATATCACAACTTCAAAAAGACAAAAGATAAAACATTCTCAATAATCTAAAATATCAGCACTTATTAAAAAAATGGCACAACAAACAGTGAAAGGGATAATCAAAATCCTATTATGACATTGAAAATGCTTTCTACATATAGTAGGTAGAGACAATAATCATGGATTTGAAACAATTCAAACTTCATACTACAAAGCGCTATTTAAAATTCATAAGTCAGAGTGGGTTGAAAAGTAAATAAAGGAAAATCCATGATTTTATGCACTATCCAAGATCTTCCATTTTGAATATGACATAGAACTATCTGAAACTCACAAAGACAAAGTCTAAGCCAGAGGCAACAAGTGAAGATGACAAAACACATATAATTTTTTCATTGTAGTATCAATTCCAAGTTATGTATCCAAAAAAAAAAAAAAAAAAGAAGAAGAAAAAGAAAAAAAAAAAAAAAAGAAACTAGATTTTAATCATTTAGCATACACTCAAATGCACGAGAAGTGAGTTCTCCGACAAGTGTAATACATCGATAGAATACATACCCGGGCTGGATTGGCAACAAATATGTGAGAAAGGAGGTGCCTACAATCTTGAGATATGTGGACATAATCAGGGATCCTATACTGAACAGCCATTATTCGCTGGAAAAGAACATCAAAGATTACATGACTACCAATTAAATAATTCCCTCATTTACTTGGAACATAAACCAAAGGCCTTGTAGCATTTGAAAGATTGAAATGAAGAAACTTACTTGGATGGTTTTCCTGAAGTTCTTTGGATCTTCTTGGTCTTCAAAAGGATAGGCTCCAACCAGCATAACATAAAGGGTCACACCACATGACCATACATCAGCCAGCTGAAAAAAAATGCAAACAAAAGTTAACAAAAAACCTGCAAAGCAAAAAACATTACATTTCAACTATGTACATATACACGTAGGAGAGAGTACGACCGAATGATGTTTTATGGTACGATGGGGCTTGTAACCATGCTTATGTCCGAAGAAAAAAATAATAATGATGTGTATACCTTTCCATCGTATTCCCTTCTTGATAGGACCTCAGGAGCAATATAAGCAGGTGTACCAACTGTAGATTTGGGCCTTGAATGCAGCAGAGATGACTAAACAAAATAGAATTACAAACACACTAAGTACATTCTGCTCCACATTACAAAGCCAGCTAGTCCACATATCATTATATGATCAGATAACAATGTGTAACCTTTGAGTAACCAAAGTCGCAGATTTTCAAGCGGGGTGCAGGGCTTCCATCCAGTAGGGTATTCTCCAGCTTCAAATCTCTATGGCATATTTGCTGCAGAGCATAGACAAATTCGAAGAAGCATAGTTCCAGCACAGGAAAAGACCAATGGGATTCCAAAAACAATTTAAACCCACAAATTCATAGATACATATAAGCAAATTTGAAAGATAAGTTTCAGTTACCATGGAGTGACAATAGTTGACTCCAGAAATGAGCTGCTGAAAGAAGTACCTAGCCTGAAATTAAAAGAAAAGGTATCTATCACGTGGAAAATCAAAATGTACAAAACCTAAATCATATGTTTCTTGACCCCGTTCTTTCTGTAGCATGGAGGGGTAGTTGAAAATAAGCTGTAATACCTCATCTTCGCTGAATCTTCCAGCACTACAGATTCTCTCAAAGAGCTCTCCACCTGCCGCATACTCCATGACAATGGCAAGATGGGTAGGAGTCAACACGACCTGTAAATCCAAACACAAACAGATATTCGGCACAACAAACCTTCTAACCAAATTTCACCTTATAAACAGAAAATGTGAAAGGAAAACTTGGAAAACGTTGGATTCCTCACCTCCTTGAATCGAATTATGTTGGGGTGCCGAAGTGATCTGTGATTAATGATCTCCCGAGCCACATTCTCATCAATCTACGAGCAAAGTTACATTAAATCGAAAAAAAAATAAAATAGAATAAAATAAATCAAATCAACTGTTAATAAAATTTGTTCATATCCAACTTCAAATTTGTATAATTCACTTAACTAAGAAAGGGAATTCAAATGTTGAACAACACAGCAACAGGTGTCTAAAGATTCACACACAGCGCAAACCACACTATCAATGGCTTGACAAGAAAATTAGTGATTTCTACTACTAGGAATAAAGAATGCATACCTTATGTCCTCTTTCGATATATTTCATTGCCACAAGTTCTTTAGTCTCCTTATTCCTCATGAGCCTCGCCACACCAAAATTCCCAGACCCAATATCCTTCACGAGCTCGTATTTTTCCATTTTTTTTTTTTTTCTCTTTCCGCACTTTCTACTATACAAATTCCTTCAATTAAAGTTCAAAGACGCAAAACTTCAAAAGCCAGAGCTTTATTTCATACGCCACTTCAGCTAAATCTAGAAAACCTAGCTCAAAAATTCAAAAGCTAAATTAAGAAATTCACGACTCAATCTCCGAAGATTCCTTCAAACTAAATATTCAGTCTTTTTTCAGCAAGAATCCCCAAAAATTCAAGCTAATTATAAAAATCTATCAAGCTTCAAATCACTGTATGAAAAGGGATCTATAAATCACTATATGAGAATGCCCAATTCAGGAACTATATGATTCAAGACGCTTGGAATTCAATAAAGCAAATATGGATTACTTTTTTCTGTGATCAAAATAGTTAAATTAGGGTTTTCAAAACTGAAACTGACAAAAAAGATTGAAAAAGGTGTAATCTTACAGCAATTGAAATGGTTTTCAGCTAGGGATGGGAAATAGTAGGAACTTTTTATGGGATCTGAACGAAAAGCGAAGGAATAATATGGTACAGGTGGGTGTGACTGGTGTGGGTGTGCATGAGAGAGAGAGGAATTATTTAATGCAACTCAGAGGGACGTCGTGGGTGGAACGGAAACCGAGTCAGACGAAAATAAACGTCCTTTCGATTGCAAAGGTTGATAAAAAAAAATTATTTAG